GTTATAGCAATCTTGTTAATTCTAGGATGTATTTTGATTCCCTGCTTACTCCCTTGTGTTATAGCAATGATTCGAAGAATCTCAGAAAGTCCAGCCCAATTAACTGCAAAACATGAAACAATGTTAGCTTTATGGGAATATAAAGTGTTGCCCTCTAAAGATCCTGAATTGGAGGACAAATAATGGAAGTTTAAGCAAGAAAACTTCCAAAGTGGGGAATAATGTAATAAAATGAACAATTGCTGGAATAATCATTTGTCTGCATAATTGCTAGAATAATGATGTAATGCATAATCTCTGGGAAAATTCACTGGGAAAGTTCTGTGTCAGTAATATGTGACTAACCAAATGCGCATTGCACATGGATACTTTGTATGTAGCAAAACCAACCATTGTACGCCCGTGAGAAATGATCCTAATGTATTACAATGTGTATTACCATGCGTAGTCCTTTGTTCCTGAAAGAAGGATCATGCACTCCTGAGGATGGACTTCCGGACCGCTTCCCCTCGCCGCAGGGAGACGGAACCGCCTAGATGGTTCCGTCCCAGGCTCCTGATGGACCCGGAGAGGTTTCTGACGGAGCTTGGGCCATATCTGGAGGCGTTAGGTCACGACTCGGCGGAAGATCAGGCTGCGGGGCCGCAGCACTGGACCGAGTCGTGCCGCTGCGGCCTCTGACCCGGCGTAGATCTCAATTAGCCCCTTGGTTTACTGAGGAGCTGAGAGAGATGAAACGCCGGAAAAGACGCCTAGAGAGCAGTTGGAGGACATCCCGAACCGAATCCGACCGAACACAGGTAAGGAGTCATATTAGATCTTACCTTGTGGCGATGAGGGTGGCGAGGTCTAACTACTACTCCACCCTCATTGCGTCATCAGATAACCGCCCAGCCTCCCTCTTCAGGGTGACCCGCTCCCTCCTTCAATTGAGGGGGGGGACCCCCTGGCGGGGAAGGCTGAGGAGTTTGCACAATATCTGCATGACAAAGTCGCTCGGATCCGAGAGGGTTTGGACTCCGACTGGGTGGCCCCGGGGGAGGTGACGGGAGCAGGTCTTGAGACTGTTATTTGGGAGGAGTTTGACTCTGTGACTCCCGATGACGTGGACAGGGTCCTGGG